GAAACTCAGACTGCGTTGCAATGATTTTTTGGCAAATGATTCAATTTTTTAGGAGATCAGAGTGGGAAATTTTCCTAGATTTGGATTCTGCTTGTAGCTTTGTCTAGCTTACTAAGGCTTCACTGTTTTTAATCTCTCTGGTTGATCAGTGGTGTACAGAAGCAACGAGTTTCCAAGCTTTTCATATGTAGGAAGCCAATTGGACTTAAATTGGTGTAAATGGGCCTAAACAGTTTCAATGACGTGTCAAAATCCGGAGCGTCAAATTTGGTTAAAAAAGGTCCACAGTAAAGGAAACTAAACCGCGGCGATTTAAGGAGACGCCACGTGGCACGTAACGCTTTCTTTTTCTTCCTCGTGTTGATTTTTTGGTTCCCCTTTTGGGTTTTCCCATTCACAAGGCGCGATTTGGGTCGCCTCGCATTTCAAACCCCTTCTTCTCCGGCGTAAACCCTCTCTCTCTCTCTCTGGTTACAAACCCTAGTTTCGTCTTCTGCTCCTTCTACTTCACCGTATTTTCCGATGCTTCCACACTCGTACACCGTCGATTCGCTCTCGCAATCTCAAGACCTAGCTTCGGCTATACTCGCAGCTTCGACGCCGTCGAATATCTCCGCTGCTTGTTCTTCCGTGGAATCGTTTCTCCAGTCGCATACGCCTGATCAGTGTCGCCATTTCTTCTCTATTACCTTTCCGATCTTAATCTGCAAGCTATTCGGCTTCGGCGATGCAACCGCTGGATCTCCGGCACAGTCTTCGTTGCCGACGAACGGTTGGATCGATGTAATATCTGGGGCTAACGATTTGGGTTTAGCGGAAAGAGTTTTCTCTCTCCTCTCCCCCAGTGGAATACTCATGAGCTCGATTTTTGCTGTTGACAAATTATCTCTTGTTAAGTACGTTTTTCCGACTGAACGTCTACCGGAGTATGCTCGATTCATGCTCTCTAGCGAGAAGGATCGATGTGCGTTGTCTAATCTATGCCCCTTTTTGAAAGGTAAAATCGAAGAGGATTCACTTCGAGGTTCATCTTATGAAGTTCGTCTTAATGTTTTTGAGTATTACATGTTTTGGGTCTCTTATTATCCGGTTTGTAGAGGAAACAACGAGAATTCTGCTGTGATTCCTATACAAAAGAGAAAGATGTTTAGGCTAGATAATTGGACACTTATCAAAGGTTTTCCAGGGAGTAACAAACGTGATTCAGATCAGAAATTGGAGTGTAATCTCTACATGAGGATTTTTTACTCTTATCTGAAAGAATTTGTTCCTGTTCTTGACTTAAACGCACACCAGCCTTATCGTAGCTCTCTTTTGCATTATGGAAATGGATTTGATGGGTCAGTGATGACAAGAGCTGAGTTCTTGGTGAATGTTTTTGTGCATTATTGGCTTGTTGAAAATGACTTCTCACCGTTTCCTGTTGTTACGGCTAAATCTTTTGGTATGGCTCCTCCTTTCCGTTCTGCTGTGGAGGAAATTCCACCTACTTGTGGGTTAGAAGAAGTAGTAAAGTTGCTTGTGAAGTATCTGAATCTGAGCTGGGTTACAAGTGGTGTTGGGAGTGAAAACTACGTTGAGTATGGAGATAGTCCACGGTGGAAGACACCGACTTCAGGATCAGCATTCCATGTCGCTAATTTAAGCCTCAGGCCGCTCACTTCTTGGAATACCCATTTACAGAGGCCGCTTTATCGATATATATTGAGGAGCTTCTTGTTCTGTCCCATAGGAAGCTCTATTAAGAATGCATCTCAGGTGTTGTCCATCTGGGTTATGTACCTGGAACCATGGGTGACCAGTTTGGATGATTTCTCAGATCTCGAAGCTGCTTTAAATGGATCTGAAAAGGTTGCGAAAAAGGAAGAATCTTACGAATCACGTGTATGTGGATACACATCTTTGTGGCAGAGCTATGTGATATCCAATTATCTCTACTACAGCTCTCTGGTTATGCATTTTATTGGCTTTGCGCACAAATTCCTTCACACAGATCCAGAAATAATAACTCAGATGGTTCTGAAGGTTTGATCCCTGGCTTAAGTTATTATTCTCAAATTCATGATTTTTATCTGTTGAAACATGGATTGCAAGACTTCTGTATTCAATTCTTAATGTGACTGAATAATTATATTGTGTTTCTCTAAATAGGTGATGAGTATATTGACATCGTCAAGAGAGCTTTTGGTTTTAATGAAGAATATTGACAAAGCCTTTCACTCTAAACAAACTGGACCAGGAAACTCAACAGTGAACGAATTGTCTAGATTTGTTCCCTCTATCCGTGAGCAGCTGAAGGTATGCCAATATTTTTTCCTCAACGCCATTTGTTATCTGTTATCTGAGTTTAGCTTTTGTCATCATAGCACCCTTGCAAGATTGAGGCGCTTGACACCAGCAAATTTTTATAGTAAACAAAACACTGCAAATTCAATCACTCTTGCATAAATATATGAACTCTATGGTGAAAAATAATGGTTAACTGCTTGTGGAACTTCAGGACTGGGAAGATGGTCTGTGTGAGAGCAATGCTGATGGGTCATTCTTGCATGAAAACTGGAACAAAGACTTGAAACTCTTTAGTGATAGTGAAGATGGTGGACAACAACTGCTTCAGGTAACTGTCTTCCTTTTATAATCTACTTTAATGATAGGTTAGTAATAGAAAGCAGAAGACAGAATTTGCTGTTGGATAGCATCTATAGATTTGCTAAAAAATAGCTCTAGTATGGAAGATCCATTTGACAAAATTATGGATAAGCTTCCCATTTGCTTGTTTACTATTTTTTTTAGCATTCTATCTGAATTAACGGAATATGAGAATCTGTTCCTTGACAAATAAAGAAATAGCTCAGGTAAATATTCTTTCAGGACTAGTTCTTCTGCATTTGGCTTTCTTCAGTACTCTAGTTGTATCGATGAGTCATCAGAATCCCTTAGCACATCACACGCTCGGTTTACTTGTTACCGATACTCTATTTTAGTTTGGTTTACACTAGAATCCCTTATCACATGAGCAACAGGAGCTTAAAACTTGTACATGGCTGAAGACTTTTTCGTATTTGCATTTGCAGCTATTCATACTGCGAGCTGAAGCCGAACTGCAAGCTGTGTCAGAGAAAAACCTCTCGGAGGCCCTAAAGTGTGTAGATTCATTAAAAGCAGTGGTCTCAAACTTCTTTGGCGGGCATGTCATAAAACCAATCTCTTTCTCCCTAGAGCTGGACCACCCCCATAAAAACCGTGATGAGCTGTTCAAGCCACGTGGTGCTGGGAACCAAATAGCAGGCAGTGTGAAGTACAAAGGGGACTGGATGACTCGTCCGATATCAGAAGACGAGGTTGCATGGATGGCTAAGCTCCTAATCAACATCTCTATCTGGCTCAATGACCGTCTCGGGCTAAACCAACCTGAGACCTACAATGACAAGAAGGAGAATTCAGAGTCGGTTTCATACGTAGACGTATCAGAAGAAGATGCAAGAAACGTTGCTGGACCAGGAGATGCTGCGAGGATGATGTTGCGCGGGATGGTGATGGTATGTGGTTCGGTGTTGCAGCTGATGAGAAGATACGGCGTTCGAGTCAATCTACGGGTCATGGCATCTAAAAAGTTTCTGATGCTTTTATTTCTCTATTTCTTGTTTGTTGTACTCAAAAGGATCGTCACTAGGATGATATGGCAGAGAGTGTTGTCGAAACAGTACTAGAGTCGAAAGTATAAGGAAACAAACACCTCTCACTCGCATAGAGAGTTTGATAGCAAATTACAAAGCGTTATGACAAAACAAATGTGGTTATTGGCAATAGTCTTAAATATTATTTTTTTGCTAAATATGCTTTAAAGTTTTTTATCTATTTTAAAGTCTTATTAAAAGCTTGTCTTTAAATTTTTTATCTGTTTTACTCTTTTTTTTCTCTTTCTAAAGACTCGTAAATGAGGTTTTAGCCATTACAAAATAAATTAATTTAGTTATTTATTGGGTCTAAATGGTAACCGCAGAATATTTGCTGAATTACTGTTGATTTTTTGTAGAATTTGCTGAATAATATCAAACTTAAATGGTAACAGCAGAATTTGCTGAATTTGCTGAATTTTCTTAAAACAGTAATTACTGTTGAATTTTTGCTGAATTACTGTTGAATTGCTGAATTTGTTGAATTTTTAGTGATTTTTTTACGGAATTTGCTGAATAATGGGTCTAAATGGTAACGTAATTCAGCATA